TTGATGTTTCTCTCTCTCTCTCTCTCTCTCTCTCTCTCTCTCCTCTGCCTTCCTCTCTGAAATCCATAAAAATATTTTTTAAAAAAATGAAACAGACGGGTTCGAGCTTGCCCTGGCCAGGTAGCTCAGTTGGTTAGAGCATCATCTCAATATCTTGATACACCAAGGTTGTGGGTTTGATTCCCAGTCAGGGCATATACAAGAATCAAGGAATGAATGCACAAATAAGTGGAACAACAAATATGTATAATCTCCCTTTCTCTCTCTCTAAAGTCAATCCTATATAATAAAAGGGTAATATGCAAATTGACCCAACGGCAGAACAACCGGTCGCTATGATGCACACTGACCACCAGGGGCAGACACTCAACGCAGGAGCTGTCGCTTGGTGGTCAGTGCTCTCCCACAGGGGGAGCGCTGCTCAGCCACAAGCCGGGCTGACAGCGGGCCTAAGCCGTCAGTGGGACATCCCCTGAGGGCTCCCAGACTGCTAAAGCACACAGGCCAGGCTGAGGGACCACCCCTCCCCACCCCAGTGCACAAATGTCATGCACCAGGCCTCTAATCAATAAATAAAATAGTGTTAAGCACATTTACACAGTTGCACATTCTGTCTCCAGAATTCTTACCATCTCTCAAAACTGAAACTTTGTACCTATTCAACCACGAATTCCCATTTCGCCCTCCTCCCAGCCCGTGGCCATGCCCACTCTGCTTTCTCTCTCTATGAATCTGACAACTTCAGGGACCTCATAGAATTGGAATCATGAAGAAGACTCGTGTCAGAAAGGTTCATGCCTGCAGAATTTACATGTTCACAGAAGCCCTGAGGCTTTGCAAAAGCCAAAGAAACCGCAAACAGCTGGACCTAGAATCTTTCCGAGGCTGGAAACCTCCCCCCCGGGACCAGGCCTCACCTGAGAAAATGTCCATAGCTCGATCAAAGCCGGGAGGGAAGGGCAGAGGGACCAGGGGCTCAGAGAAAGGGCTTACGGCCTGCCTGGCAGTGTCTCAGAAGAAGAGTCGATAAAACTCTAAAATCAATCGGCTGATGATGCGCTGGAGAGTAACACAGAATTGGCTGGTGCTGTCACGGGGATCTGGGAATAACCCACAGCCCTGGCCCTGGCCGGTCCCTCCCCACTGGCGCCAGGTATCTGAATTGTATAGAATCTTTGGAAACACAGCATTTCTTTGTGGAAAAGGCGATAGAAATTCTGTTTGTACCGATTTTATTTAAAAAACTAAAGGCCCAGTGCATGAAATGCAGACACTGGTAGGGTCCCTGGTGGCTGCCAGCTGCCAGCCAGGGCCTCCCTTCCTTCCCCCCCACCGGCCACGCCCCCTGGTCAAACTCCTGGACAACTTCCCGGTCAAGGGGACAATTTGCATACTACACTTTCATTATATAGGATAGGATAGGACTAGAGGCCCGGTGCATGGGGGTTTTGGGGGGGCGGGTTCCTCAGCCCAGCCTGCACCCTCTCGCAATCCGGGACCTTTTGGGGGATGTCTGACTGCTGGTTTAGGCCTGATCCAGCAGATCGGGCCTAAATCGGCAGTCAGACATCCCTCTCGCAATCTGGGACCGCTGGCTCCTAACCACTCTGCTTGCCTGCCTGATAGCCCCTAACCACTCTGCCTGCCTGCCTAATTGCCCCTAACCACTCACCTCGCTGCCTGATTTCACCCCTAAAACTCAAGCTTCTTCTTTCTTTATTTTTAATACTTATATTTCTTCTGTATTTTTTTAAAAGTCAAGCGTCTTGAGAACATGAGGCATTTCACATGATTCCATATTCCTTACAGAGAGCTAAGCATGGTAAACACAGCAAATACTTAATACTTATGGCTTCTATACAGACACTTTCCAACCAGGAATGTTTTAATAGGCAGCATCCAAAAACTTGAACTGGAAAACCTAAAAGCAGAGAGCTCAGATTTCAGGCATCGGGTGCTATTAGCAGGATTTCTATCCCAATTAAACTCCAGTTCTTCGCTCTCAACATGGACAAACTACTGCCCTTCACTGTCTCCAAAGTTTCTTATTTGTCACTATCCCATTTTTCATTTTTTTTTTTTTAGTTCAATGTTTTATATCCACATCAGTATCAACATACCATACAAAACCCACCTGCAGGCCTAGCTGGGCAGGCAGGAGGGGGGTCCATGGCAGCACAGAAAACCAGGGTGCTTGACCCAAAAGAGGAGAAAATGGGTTTACAGTCAAGGAAACAAAATCAGAGCCCAACACAATCAAGGAGAAGCCTTGAAACTGTGTCGAGCGGAGGTGCCGTGGGCAGCCGTGCCTCTCGGCTGGCCCAGCAGTCCCGGCAGCAGCCTCGGTTCCTGGGAAGCCTGGGGCCAGGCGGGGCCCAGCTCTTGAGGTTATTTTTAATCATTTTGCTTTTGGGGGAGAAGGGCTTCCGGGCAGCAGCTCCATGTGGGGGTAACCCTTGTGGGTTACACTTCAAGGTTTGGAGGGGAAGTTGGGTCTGTGGGGCGGGACCCGCCCGGTCCCAAATGTCACAGTGGAGGTTCTTGGAAGTGGCCCAGCAAAGTTCCTTCCTGCCTCCTTCCTGCCCCAACCCCAGGTCTATGGGCTTAAAAATCGGGCTCCAGGGCTGGGGCTGAGCACCCCAGGGGCCTTTGTGAACATGGCAGGTGCAGGCAGGGGGCGCTTGGGGGAACCCTAGGATTTGGTGGGGGCGGCCAGAGCCAGGGGCGGGCAGTGCCCATGGGGACAGGGGGCATGGGGTGGAGGAGGTATGCTCCTCTAACAGAGACTTAGAGGCACAGAGACTAAGAGAGGCAGCGAGGACAGAGCTGGGGACAGAAAGAGTGACAGGAAGAGAGAGACTCAGAGAAAGCAAGAGAGAGATTGAGACAGAGAAAGATTCACAAAGAAGAGAGACAGACGGACGGAAAGATGGAGTCCTGCTCTGT